TCCGTTTGTTTTTCTCTAGAAAATTGACACCTTTTGGCAGCTCGAGAAATCAAACTTGTACACAAGACTGTTCTATGCAGTTGCATGGGCACAAGAACTGCACAGCGCCATTTCCATTCATTTCCCACTCTGCCTCGCTGCAGATCTTGTTTAAACTATTAATTCGGGTCATCACCCTGTTCGTCGACCAGTTCTCTTCCATTTTCTTTCGCTACTTATCATTATAATAGCCATAGGATGCCATAGGTCACAGGCCCTCTATAAGGGTATACCAGTACTGGATTTTGCGCTTGCAATGCTCAAATACTGCCTGCTTGGCCGGTTTGCCTCTGGTTGCCTCTCTTCTTCTTCTCTCCAGTTGACATGAAACAGTTGGAACTCCGCAGTCGTTGGTCTGTTATGGTCGGTCCTCCAGGAATTCCTGCTCTTCCCGTTCCTCCTGCTCCTTCTGCTCTCTCAAGCGCTTTTCCAGGTCGTTCACCCTGTGGCGCGGTTCCAGAGGGAACCTCTAGTGAATGGTCTTGGTCTGGATCTTGCTTCTGGATGGAGCAACAAGAAAGAAGGTCCTAGAGTCCTAGGACCATGTGACCAAGTGTAGATTCATCTCAAAATAATTGTTTCGTAGATGCTTCTTCTCAGCTCTTGCTGAACGAAATAACTCTGTACTGGTTTACACATTTGAGACCGGCCAATCGGCAGCAAGTCTCTAAAACACGAGGTCTCAATCTGCAACCGGTAACAGGTCTTAATGGTAGATCTGTGGCGTTGAGATGTCAAAGAAGTCACGTATTCTTCCCATCAATAGAATAACTTTTCTCAGGTCCCATGCATTGAAATGCATTCACATTGCAATATAAACATGTTGTGCTAAGATGATGTAAATGTCTCGCATTCTCAGGCCTTCTCATCTTCTGCAGGATGTCGCCACCCTCGCAAGAAGCCAAAGTTACAGGAGTTGCAGCTGGTATATTTTGCGCTTCAAGACAAGTCACACAGAAACTCCCCACACATCTCCGTGAGGCACTCGAGGCCGCCTCTTTGTGAAGAAATCACTCGCCGGACGTGCTATGCCCAAGCCTCTTGATCCTCTGTGCTATCCCGCTGCTTTTCGCGATGCCGCCTGGTGCGCGCACACCCTCAACCGCCGCCAATCCACCAATCCACCATCCCCACGGTGCTGAAATTTGATCTATACCTTCTTCAGTGGCACTCAACCGCCACAGGGGCGGGACCTCCACCTAGTGAATCCCTTTGGTGCTTGTTTTTGTTGGAAAGTAACAGCTCCGGCTCATCGGAAACTCTCCATAGATGTGCATCATTTTTCGCGCTATCCCTTGCTTCATTCTGCCCGTCTGAATTCAACCCCAACGCAGCTTCGGGTTGCTACACGCCTCGCCCGCTCGGCGCCGAAGTCCGCCAAGGGGCCGATCCTCGGTCGGTGTCATGCCGCCATGCCGCTTGGAAGGCTTCAGACGAGCGAGGCTGGTGCCTTCAGGTTCATATGGTATAGGCTCGTGCTCGTGGACGTGTTCGTGTTCGTCACATCACGTTACTACCCTCTTTGTTTGAGGGGTTCAAGTGTGTTGATGCATGGTTGAACAAGTGCATGGAAGTGTTGATGATTGGGTTATTATCTCTTTTTCACGTGGCTCCATTGGGGGCAGGGTGGGGCAGGCTTCCATGCGAGACGCCCCGCTGGCAAGTCCGTTGAGACATGAGACCACACGGGAGTCATCGCGAAGCGATGACGATGAAAAAGACATCTCTCTGTGCCAATGGCTTTTGGGGAAGACATAGCTCTTCGGACTCCGGCGGAGCCTACACCCTTGGCATGTTTTGGGAGGCTTAGTGCAGCCTGTGGAGAAGCGCAGTGCAAACGCAATGCAGCAGTTCATAGACGCACACGTTTGTTTTCTTTTCCAACTCAATATCGTTGCTGGCTCACACAACAAAACGATCGGCACTGTAAAACCCTGCGAGAGCTTCATAGACCGTCTCGTGTGCTGAGATGAAGGCCCAAACTTCTTGTACTTAAGGAAGTTCCTGCGACGCAAGAACCAACAACCAACTTGAACGAAAGGATGATCTGCCACACAACCTCTTCTGTGAGGAGTTGACACAGAACAATAGGTTGTTACTTCGTTTCTGGTAAATGGGTTGAATCTATGGAGCTACCGAAAGGGGTCCACGATGAATGCACAGTCAGAAGTTGGCAAACAAATGTTGCTGCTTTCTTGGGAAACAATAAAGTGTAAAGCGTTGCCAAGAGCCCCTAGTAGCTTCTTGTTACTAGTACTAAGGCCACGAGCCCCTAGTAGTGTCCTTGCTCCTAGTAGTGATGCCAGGAAGCTCCTAGTAGTACTGTTGGTGCACAGAAAGCCTTCTTTGCAAGCGCTCTAGGGCTCCAACTATCACGCCGAACCGTGGTTTTGACTGATCAAGTTCTTCGTTCATTTCCCCCCCGGTTTCCCGTCTTCACCGGTGGTTTCGCACCCCGCCTGGCCACGGGCTCGGAGCAGCCCATGTCGGTACAAAGCCGCTCCACTGCATCCTTGTTCTGCCGGTCCCTGGCAAGTCTCGGATGGTCCCTAGTTTCTGCCTGTCCCTGGCGGTGAACAAGCTGGTCCCATGCTGGTTTCTGGTTTTTGAGGTCAAGTCTGTCTGTGAGCGCTAAGTATGTCTAATCTTCCCTGTGCTTTAGTATTTTAGATCTACAGCTGCGCGTGTCCCATCGCGAACAGCAAACGATGGTAGAGTCCAGTCTCCCATATTCAAGTTATGTCCTGTGCGACAAGCTCGCGTCTTTGGGAAATAAGTATATGTATGAATAACAGTGAATAACTCCTCTTCAGGACACATGGCTCATCCATGCTCATCTGCAGACCTTCCGCAGACCTTTCCTGGTGAATCCATTCCTTTCACCGCTCGAACGCGACGACCCCGTGTCCTCGCCGCGTCGACGATGACTCCCAAGTCGCACCTCTCGGTCCGATTGAAGGTGACCAAGTCGCGACCTGGGTCGCGTCGCGACTGTTCACGGCCGCGACCGGGCATCCATCGCCGGTGACCCGAAGGCCCGAAGGCCATCGACTTAGTGGCAACATTGGTCACATATGGCAACATTTCATGCATGAGAATCAGGTCGCGTCGTCAATCCCACCAAGCCAACATGGAAGCCGAAGCTGCACCCACTGCATCTTTGTTCATTCTTTATGCTGATCTCTCTCTTCTCATCTCTTCTCCTCCCCAATCTAAAGTGAATTGCGTTGAACTTGTGCAGCCGCAAACCGGTAGGTATGACTTTATCCAAAGGGGTGCTTCTCAAATCTACTGAATCAAGACAAGGGAGAGATTTCTGCCCATGCGAAATCAAGTTCTTGACAGTTCAGCCCGTTGGATGTCTTGAAACCAATGACCCTTCACCACCTATTGATCGAATATTCAGCGTCATGAATGATGATGACGATGATGACGACGACGACGACGACGATGATGATGCAAACATCAAGCATTGCCTCGCATGGAGCAAAAGCAATCTCTGCAAACCCAATGAATGAATGTAAACACATAAACACACATATATACACATATAACGTCTCAAATCTGGTCGGGCAAAATCCTTCCTGGTCTATAAGCTTTTGACACTACCTGGGTTTCTCTTCGGTTTTCGCCCAGAGGACCTCCGGCCGACCCGCGGCCCGCGGCCGACCGCCCCTACGTCGCCGGCCGCCGGTTCGCGTGGCACCGGGGTTCGCGACTCATCCGGCGCCGGCGCCGTCGGACCTCAGCAGCTGCGAGGCTCGAAAAACGAGGTCAGATCGGGGCTGTTTTCACGAGCGAGCGATCTGGAGCAAGGGGTATTTCCAAGGCAGCAGTCACATGTCGGGGTGCGATCCATGGAGGTTAGGGGTGCCCAGAACATCCACTCACTTGGGGACTAAACACCACCCCTTTGTGACTCCTGGAGTATAGTTATTTATATGTAAAGTGGAATTCGTCGGACTCCAAAGGCTTGTAGTAAGATAAGGGGTAGTTAAGATCCCTGGCTCAATCTGGACTTAAGAAGCCACGCTTGCCTTGGAAGATGTCCAACTCAGAACATCAAATGGGGTGCTGATTCTCCCTATAGCTAAAGACCTGCCAAGCCTGCCATGCTCTTTCTCCAACAGAAGTTGCCATCCCCCCACCCACCATGCTCATGCCAAGTCTTATCTCCAAACCGTGTCTTTTCATGGCAAAAACTCTGCTTCTCGAAGATTCCCCCAGCCATTTGCACACCTTGTGAGTTCATCTGGGGGGACACTTGGTCAGTGATGTTTTCTCTCTTCCATGTGCAGGCCCCGAAGCAAAAGCCCGCAGAAGCGCCGCTCTTGCTGGGCTCCAAGCAGGTGCTGCCCAAATGACTGGAGGCAAAGGATGTGCCACTGGTGGAATCTGGTAGATGAGTTGGATCTTCAAGTGGGCTTCCTTGATGCTCTCTATGTCGTACATGTCTCTGGAATCCTCTGGATAAGACTTATTTGGATTAACTGGTGGTGAATTAGCGATGACTTGTATTCTTCTTGTGAGCGGTGGTTAAAAAGCGGCGACACATTTAAACATATTTTAACAACATGTCCATGCGAAGGAAAACCTTTGCCTGTGTCCGCTGATGTCTGCTGGATGAGTGCGAATTTGGGGCCAAAACAGTCTGCGATCCCCTGCTTGCTGCACAACTTATGACTAATGAATGATGTGCCCTTGCCATGGCTAGGTGGGTGATGTAGCGAAGTTTGCAAATCCTAGGCTAGGAGGGCTTGGGCTCTGCATGAACGGAGCTGACTTGCAAACGGCCGCGGCCACAACATATGATGTGCCACATATAAACATAGAAATATAAACATTGAAAAATCTGAAGGACAACAAGCTCAAACACAAGTTTTATCCATCTGCGGCCTTCTTCGAGCAAAAACAGAGCTCTTGTGTCCATCTGCGGCTCTGTTTATGCTTAAGGGCCCCGCTTCGATCATCTCGGGCAAAGAAAGACCTGGACTCAGATTCTGTGGTCAATGAATGAAGCTTGCCTGCAGAAAAACCGATATCGTTGAGCTGGCCAACCCAAAAACTGATGTTTTCACTGGCTAACTAGTGACAATGCTGCTACTCAATGTCATCGACTGGGTCTGGTCTGCCATCGACTGGGTCAATGCTTCTAGGTCTTGACAGTCGAAAACGGAGATCGGTGGAGCATGGAGCATGTTTTCCCTACCGATCGGTCGAGGTAAGTTCGATGGAAGAAGGTTCGACTTAAGGACCACCTGGACAACGTCGGCTCACTGAGACGTTGCAAACAAAGAACACAGTCGGGCGCAATCCGACGGCCTGGGAATGAAGTGTCCAAATCGACCTGGTCGTTGATGGACGGCCGAGCTTCTTTTGTGGTTTCAGAGGCACCAGACCGAAAAACAAACAAAGGGACGACCAAGCGCAAGGAAGGGCTCCAAACCGATGGCTTTTGCATGTCACTTCAACTTCGAACAGTTCTGGAACACATCTCTGGAACACATCTCACAATCAGCAAAACAGTTGACCTTGCTCCCAGGGGTGCTTTTTGGAGGGCGCTTGGCTTTTCCTCTTGGTGACATTGGGAGCTTCTGACTCCTGCCCTCGTCCCAAGAGCTTCACCAAAAGATTTCCACAGCTGTAAGGACAATGGGCCCACAACAACCCGGCGTGGCAGTGAATTCCGGAGCCGGCTCCAGCACTCCCTGAAATGGAATGGGCACTTGGATGACAAATTTCTTCTACACATATATGTGGTCTTCCACTTCCATGATAGGGTCAGGGAGCCTATCTTTTTCATAATCACTCTTCATGTTTGTGAGGAACTTGAGTCAAACCTCTAATGATGTGGTTCCAAAAGTGAACAATGAACAGACCCACCAACAAAATAAAAACACTTGGATGACAACAAGGTTTCAGAACGCCAGGTGCGACAGAACGACAGGCCTCGATCCAGCTCACTGGTGGTCAACGTCCACCGACTTCGTGTCGTCTTCATGTACCCATTTTACCTTCAACGCTTCAACAATCCAACGCCAAATTGTCACGCTGCTGGTGGTTTCAGGAGGTCCTCATCTTCGCCAGTTTCTGTTTCTTTCGGGGTTGAAAGGGTTGGAACCTCTGCATCTTCCATGAGATGTTTTGTGGGGTCAAAACGCGGTTTTTCTAGGTTAACATATACCTGGGAGGTCAAACTACCAAGTGACACGGGCTCCGTGTTTTGATCCACAGCTGAATCCGCCGAATCCGTCCTCGTCTTCCATCCCCGCGAAACCCGCGAAACGCACCTCAAGGTCCACAGCTCCGCCGCCTGGAGGCTGTCGCTCAAGTCGTTTGGAGTCACGGACGCCCATCGACGTGACGTGTGCGGCACACTCAGTCGACTTCCGAAGAGGTGCGGTGCGTTTAGATTCCTTCATGGCGAGTCCTTGGCAACTTGCTTAGGCTGACGCGAAATCCCACAAGGGTAAAAACTTAAGCGGAACAACGAGTGTGAAATGTGATTGAGCTGCCAGCTTTATGGCCTTTCAATGTATTTTGGAATACTGGAGTGCCAGGATGCCTGATGAACAGTGGCTTAAAGACTTAAGGATGTTTAGGCCGCCAATAAACTCTATGCACCTAATCGAGGGTCCTCACATTTTTCCTGCAAAGAACGTTCACCTCCAGGAATTCACCACCAACATCTTGCAGAGATGTACAAACTCTAGACACGCACGTTTTCAGTGTGAATTGTCCTTTACGCATTCCAATCCTCATTCTGAACAAAGCAACATGGTCGTCACAAAGTGGGCTGAACAAGTTGGAAACCTTTGACCCCAGGTTCTTCCGACCTGACTTGGTCGGCTCAAGCTCTTCGACCTCTGGCACTGGAGGAGCCTGACAACGTGGAAAAACAACCCAAGGATGAAATGATCTATGTGACCACCATGCTTCACTCAACTATCGGCCACACCCAGGCACACTTTTGACATACCAAAGTTATGCTCAGTCACAAGGAGCGCCTCCCCAATAGGGAGATCACATCCATTGGGCATTGCAAAGCTGGCCCGATGAGCCACGTGGCGATAGCTCCAACCACCAATGCAAAGCAGTGCAGTTCAGTACACACCAACTACTGTAGGCAATACGTGCCAGAAGTGGTGCGTTCGTGATATGCAGCTGCAATGCAGCCCAAGGTGGCATCCAGAACCTGGGCACGTGGTATCCATGAACCTTTTATGCACTCACTTGCTTCCTCATTCCTTCTGAACTAGGCATCCGTGGACACTCCAATGGGGGTGTACTGAAAGACGCACTTACGTCCTGGCTGATTGTGTTTAAGTCGGCTTTGGAAATATGAAATGCGTGGTATTTAGAGCAGGCTGGCATCCGTATAGCGCTTTAAAAAATATGAGCAAAATGTCAGCTTTTCATACAATCACCCACTGGCCTAATTGAGTTTTTTGAGCCAATACTGTGTTAGCAGTCACCAGGATGCAAACCGGTCCAGCCACTCCTTTCACAACCCATTGGTGCCCTTGAAATGCTCAGGACAGGCAATCGTACCAAAAGAGTGCGTTACGTGTTTTGTTGGCTCCTGCACCTCCTCAGCCAGGCTGCCCCCTCCAAAAACACTCATCTAAGAACCACCCTAATGTGAGTTTTACTCCCGGACCTGCCAAGGCACAAAAACACGAGGATCCACCTTTCAACAATCGCTCTCAGCAAACAGGGGGGGGAGGTGAGAATGAGACCCGAACAAGTGTGTCTGAGGCATCTGAGGCGACTGAAAACCGTCGCCTGCGCGGAAATCTCTCGTCGAAACACTCACTCTCAAATATTTGTTGTTGGCGGGAAACCCAAAAGGACGGGTTCCTAAGGAAACATGCAATGTAGCAATGTTAGCCATGTGTGTCAACCTGTGGAGCAGCATAGTCGACATTGCATTCAGATGTGTAGAGCTGAACAAAAACACCATCTGGCCGCTGTAGACGGCCGCTGATGACTCGTCCGTTTGGGATGTCCACATGATCCATGCGGCTGCCGTGACGGCTGCCGTTGTGTCCCTTTGTGAGTGTATTCACCCACTGGTGTCCTCCATACGGCCGCCTGGCAGGCTTGGGAGGTTCATGGAGGTTCCTTTTCTGTTCACATCTTTTCGGAACAAGGGGTGATGCCAGAAAAGCACCCACCTTTCGAGCTGCGTGACGCCTGGACCTTGACAGCGGGTTCTACCCCGGGTTTGGAAATGCTTGGACAGCATGTGACATGCACATGCATTCTTACATTACCCAACTGTACTACATGACACATTTATATAATCACACTACATTGCTTGAAACTTTTTCATAATAGTGGAGGCAACAATGATATAAATCCACGACATACGGGCAAGCAAACAAACCAACCATTCACATATATTCCATTCGATTCATTCAATGCCTTCCCCTTCCACTCAACCTGACCAAGTTGGGTACATCAACCGTGCCCCACTCACTCAGCGTAAACAGCAGACCCAACAAAAGAATGCAATCCTTCCATTTTAGCACTCCGCCATTTGTTTTGGCCCTTTTTGGAGGTTTGAACGGGTTTGACGAAGATCGCTTTTGAACGGACCGGTCCTGCAGCTTGCTGTCCAAGCCCGCTCAAAAACCTGGATCATCACGCGGACGCGAACGCAGACCCAACACACCTCCTCCAGCGAGGCGCACCGCAGGAAATAGCGGCCTCGGTGTTCACCGACGGAAGCAACTGTGTACCGACCAGGTGGCAAGCGCATGTAGCCACAGGAAAGCTTCCTGCAAATGAACAAATAGTAAAAAATACATTTCCTGGAAATGACCTGAACCAATTGTAGAAGAGATCATTAAAGTCGCAATACCTGGAGAAACATCAAAACCTTGCCCCAGTGCGATCCAGGATGGTGGAGAGCCGCAAGCGCCTCCGGACAGTCGAGTTTGCCCACTGCATATCACTCACTGACGTCGCTTCCTGGCGCCGGTTCCTGGCGCGTCTGTTCCGCTGCGTGCTTCTTCGGCGTAACCCGCGGACCCGGCTTCGTCCAACTGAGCTTCCCCGACCCGCCATGGAGAGAGGTCCAACCGGTCACACGCGCAGGTGGCGTCTCACGGCATGGAGGTGCATGCGTGGTGCATTGCAGTTAGATGGCGAGTCAACTGCGGAATCAGTTCGGGAACTATATAAACATACTCACTCATCCGAACGGATGATTGCAATCACATCTCAATTACAAACAAAGCAACAATCTGGTAAATCTCCATGGCTTAACTCTTGCCAGGTGAATATTGCACAGGGTGTGGCAGGCATGGAGCAACCACTCGAATCTTCCTGCTCCAGCAAAAGGGACCACTTTGCTGAATGCTCTGCATTGCACACAACCGTGTCCAAAGAAATTCGTGGGTGGCTTACTCTGTCTCTTTTAAAGACTCCCATTTCCATTGCTTTCTGTTGCCGGTCTGTTGAGGTGGAAACAGCATCCAGTCCAGACAAGATCTCCACTTCTTTTAGCCTTGATGGATACCCTTCCTGTGAGCTGAGACTCTCTGCGAAAGAGCGGGTGTTTCGGTCGTGGGCTATTGGATCCCTCCAACAATGGTGGAAGCAAACACCCTGGCTTCTAAGAAACTACAGTAAAACAAAACCGACAAAACATGGTTCCTGCACCAGGAGCAAACTTTCTGCTGTTGCTTGGACACAGGGGATGATGGGGGAATTGATTTTGATGCTGTCACCTGCTGTCAGCAGCTGCTTCGGACTCAGCCGTTCCCCTCAGTATCTGGATTTCCCAAACGTCCATCATCTTCCGCAAGCCCAAAGCAGGAGATCCATTTTCAATCGCTCGCTGTGACTTACATAGGTATGCAACTGGTGAAGAGAGTTCTGGACTTGCCACTCGAGGAACTCCTTCAAACTCCTTCTCAGATGTGCAAAAAAATGTCCGGCGACTGCCAAACGAGTCTTGGCCGACTTTGGGTTTGAGGAGCGGCCGCCAAACTACGCCAGCACCCCAGCCAAAGAACAGCCCTTGGTAAGATTAGAGTATGGCTCAAAACTCACAAACCTCAAAATTCCATGTGCCCCCAGTTCGAGGTGTCTTGTAAGAGCCCCTTTTTTGTGATCTGTGCTCCATGGAAACCATACTTTGGGTGGCATGAACAAAATCTTTGAGCCACACCTCGCTCGCCGAAGCGGGGGGCATTTCTGAAGGTCTGGGCCGAACAAACGGACGTGACAACAGAATACAACAAACACTACTCAACTACTCAGCGATTGGCCGATGCAAAACAACACACCTTTCAAAATCTTTCAAAACACTATCGGTGATTGGTGATTTTTCTGGATTCGAGTGTTGCATTCATGCTTTAAACTGACGAGTGACACTTTGACATCACGACCTCGCGCCCAGCCCTAAGTCCTACGCCAAAACTTTCGCGACATGTCATGAAGTGAAACATCAAGCGCTTGTGCCAGCCGAACCCCCCTTGAGGGGGAGCGATCAGCAGATGTATACAGTAACCTTCTGCTCAACTTGGCACGACTTGCTTGATTTTGGGTGCTCGTGGCATTGCAAAGCTGAGATCCTCCTCTGAACCACCCTTCCTTGGATGATCAGCTGGAACAGTCATTCTGAGTCATTCGCCCTAATGCAGAATCTTGATTCATCAAACCCCTACCTATTATTTGGATTGCAAAAGCCTCTTCATATGGGTGGATGATTCATCAAGATTCGGTCGTCCGATTCCACCGAAAACTCCACCAACTCACCGAAAACTCAGACCAGGTTCTCCGTTGCCGCCGGTGCGGGTCCGTTTTCGTTTCCAAACAGGGCCGGGCCCACTCAACGGCGGGTCCCTTTTTGGAGGGTCACTGGGAGGGGACAACTCAATAACTCCAGGCTTCATGAAGGCCAGTGGAAGATCCGTCACTTGTCCACCTCGGAGTCAGCGGCTCAAGCCCGACACCACCGGTGTAAACCGCCGATGTCAGCGGCTAAAATATGCCGTGACTGGTTCCAAGTTGGGTGTGTGACAATGACCAAATTACATCCAATTACTGACTTCACACGTGTCCATCCCGAGGTCGTGACTCAAATGAGCTCGTCTGTTCAACTCCTTCACGAAACAGCGCGCATAGACCACTGTCGTGGCCAGGGCATTGGCATAGCCTCACCAAACAGGGCGTCCATTCGGGTCTTTTCAAACACATGAGAAACAAGCGCCCCTCACGCCCCCCATCTTCGGTCAAGGCCTTGAAGTACTTTGAAAAGGTCCTCTGTAGAGACAAGGAGGGACCTCGCCTGCACCACTGCCTGTGAGCACAGGAAAGAACGCGAGAACTACGAGCCTAAGCCTCCTCTCCATAGGTTCTGTGATCCCGCGTTTTGGAGCTGTTCATTGCTTCAGTTAACATACAAATCAGGCGATGTCCGCCTGCAGTTTTCCCTGATGGCGCCAAGTGTTCACCCACACAGCGGGTTCCGCGACGTACTCTCCGACTTCCAGCATGGTTTGCGAGATGGCAGAATCAGAGTCTCGCTGGACACCCAGCCATTTGCCGAAGAGATTGCCTGACAAAAAAGAGACTCAATTGACTCTCTCATCTCTGAGTTCTACCTCTGTAACAAGCAACGCATGCTCTCCACCAGTCAAACTGGCTGAACCAAATTTGCCCTAGCTGCCTCTGATGACTTCCTGCATTCTTCCTCCAGCTCCAAATACTTTACTGTAACTGCTGCGATTTGCTGACAGAGCAAGAGTCCTTCCTTTGAAAAAGACAGAACCCCTCGAACCCCCACAAGCTTTTGGAAAAAACACTACCGAGGAAAGAAAAACACCATTCTGGGAACTGGAAGCACCCCAACCCAGCTTTTGCGCAGGTTGCCAGCTTGAAACAAGACCGGGAGGCACCCAGAAACAGTCAACGGCGTGGAGATCACCCCAAATGGGATTGCAAGTTCCGTTGCAACCCGTGGCCCTTGGTTTGATCAGTGCTCCAAACTTCGGGTTCTTGACCATGAGCCGAAGAACATATCGATGCTTAGAATCTCCTAGCTCAGTGATTTCGGGTTGGCCCACCACATATGTGTTCAAATTCAGTCATTTTTGCCGGATCCAGATCCAGCAGTGGTATTCAATATCCACATCTCCATCACCCATGTTCCACGTTTTTCTCTGTGAACCCGATTTTCTCGGCGACGTCAAGCGGTGCTTCACTGACGTCACAGGTTGAACATCTCCGCCCCTCTCAGGTAGCCAGGGCATTACTAGCAGCAAGAAGCTACTACTAGCGATGCCCTTGCTACTACTAGCGGCTGCACTTGTTGCCCGGAGGCCTCCGGCAATCCTGTGGTTGGACTTCACCTGGAGAACTTGGTCGGAATCTGACCAGTGGAAGTAGACACTGAAGCCGGCGGCGATGAAGTACCTGCTGAGCGGTTTTTCAAAGCCAGGCTTTAAAGGTCCACTTTCAGGTCTTCGGGGCACCACTCAAAATACACACATTTTTCGGGTTGGAGGGGGCAGGGGTGTCGATGTTCTTGGTGATTTGTTCCCGCTGTGATTGTTACAGAGATGATGGGCCGATCGAACAGGCTATCCTGCTGTGCTCCTGCTGTGCTTCTGCTACAGCACTACACCTCGATCTTCAATCCGGACCTTTACAGGGCGCCTGACTTCCAACTCCAGCGGTTTTCAGGATTTTGTCTGGCAGTTTTTCCAAGTCACTTCATGTGGATTCTCATGGCTTTGCATTCAAGGTAAATCCACTACTGATGCCATGTTTTGCTTTCAAAGTGTGCTCGTTTTCCACCGTTTCCACTGTTTTCTCATTCCACCGACGTGAAGAAAAACACCGCACACCGTGTCTGGGCCGTAACTCGGTCCCGTGGTGCCTCGGTGGTGTCTCGGTCGTGTTGTTTGGTGCTTTCAAGACGCGGGGGTGGTTTTTGGCTGTTTGTTAAGCTGAAAGCACAGACGTAACATAGGCAAGAAATGGCAAGAAAGCAGTGTTTCAGGACAGCGCATTTTCGCGCGTGCAGGTTGTAGTTCTACCTGTGCAGGTTTGCAGAACCTGCCGGACCAGTTCGCAGAACGAGTGTTGTTCAGTATCTCGTCTTGCAGATGTCCGGACGCCTTTTCTGGCGGGACGTATCTCCAATCTCACATCACTCCGGCGCAATGTGCCGTCTCTCCGGCGTTTCTTTTTGCGGACTCAGTTTGTGGAAGATCTTGAAAAAAAGTCATCTTAAAGAAGAGTTTGGGCTAGAACATGCTAGAACCATGAGTTCTGCCACGTTTGTTGGTGCGAGGTCCTGAGGAAAGATAAAATCTCCCGCAGAGCAATCACTTTGTACAGAACTTTTAAGACACAGTTGCAAAGAAAGAGGGTCTCGTTGCCACATACTCCTGCTGGTTTTGTTCTTGGAAGTCTTTGCTTGGGCACATGTTTGCATATATTTTGTGATGGTTCTGCACTTAGGCCATTCGGAAAACGGGCAAGGGCATGGGAAACGGGAAGGCTCCAGTGTTGGGTTGTGGAATGAGCGTGTCCGGAAAAGTTACTTGTGGGACAAAGGCAACTTCCTTTTGCATGATCCAACCTTTCACCAGCCTCTTATTCAGAATCTTGGATCCGGATGTTTTTCTTTTTTTTTTTCAGGTCCTAGCCTTAGCTAAACATATTGCCCGATTGAGGCCCAGCACTCAGAGGATCCAGGTATGGTATTCACAACAGTCATGTCAGACTTGTGACAGGGCTTTCGGACAAGGCTTCAGGTTTCATAGGACTTTGAGATGTTGCCAACCCAGAAGTTTACTGTAGTTCAATGGGTTTAAACTGGATGTTACGACAGGTTTGTTTGTGCGAACAACCAGGTTCCGGCCAAAAGTCCCTAGTCCGCTTTTCAAGGTTAACATCATTCCTCGAAGCACTCGGCGGCTTCTCCAAAAAAAGACCTGCGAAACTTCTTCCGCTAAGTTCTTCTAAGGCAATAAACCTGTTGCTCCCTCAAGGGCATACTTTGCTCTCCACCGCGCGACGTCACCAGTCATGCGTTCCAAAATCCGGAGGTATCGCCTCCTCCCAGGCGGATGAAACCACTCTGTTCACATCTGTTTGAGGGGTCAATGAGTCAATGACAATCAATATTTGATTCCGCGGACGCAGAAGGGGCCGAGGTCAACAGTTGTTTATTGCCAGCAAAGGTACATCCCCAAAGTCTTGGTGGTGGTGTCGAAGATGATGTCACCAGGCAAGTGATAAAGCTCAAAGACAGCCTGACTGCATAAGTTCAACTCCATGGATGGATCAGACTTCCCGATCTCTCTGAAAAACGCATGTCCTTAGCGAACAGAAGGGACCCACAACGGAGCACCCTGCGTGGGAATTCATTTGGCACTGGTCAGGTGTTTGTTTCTTCAAGATTTCAGGTGGCTGGGTGGGACCTCTATTGCAGAATTTCCTCAAACACTTGCTCCGTTCGTAGCGATGCCTTTTGTTCCTAGTAGCGTCCGATCGCTCCTAGTAGTAAGGCCAGGAGCCCCTAGTAGCTTCTTGCTCCTAGGAGCGATGTCAGGAGCCCCTGGCAGTGCTCCTTTGAACACATTAGAACACAAGAATGGACCACATGCTGAAGATGCTGGTCTTACTCTAACCTGTCGGAGCCTTTGGAGGAAATGTGTCGACTCATCGACTGCGTCCAGGGCCGACGCATGCTGTGAGCACATGTTCTCTCCCAAAGCTCCGCTAAGCATCGATGCAGGATCGGGCTGCGAGCTTCCTGGAAGAGCTCTCGAATCATTCCCTCTGGAAGGTTTTGCAGAAAAGGCATGTGCCCCTGCATCTCATTGCGCCGATGCTCTTGTTGAACGTAGCGCTTCATCTGCATGGTGTAGCTGTACGAGATATTGTGGATCGCACAGTACTTCCGGACCGACTCAATCATCTTGGTCACGCGCGTCCTGGAAGAGAAGCAGACTTGATGCAACCAGGAACACCATCTCTTATCATTGGTATACCTTGAAACACACCAAGAGGAAATTGCTGTTCCACTATGTTCCACTATAACATGAAGCTATAGTGGCTACAGAGCTCAACATCAGAACTTGCTGACCAAACAAATCTTTCTCAAAGCCAACTGATTGTGGGGCGTAGGGGTGTCCTCAGTACAAATATGGCTTCCTACACAAGAAGTCATTTGCTGGTAAAAGCAACCAGTTTTGATGCAAATCATGTTCCAAATCCACTTGATGCGTCAGAGTGCACCACAACGACAGCCTAAAAGGAGGGGCCGCAACCGCTTCCAAGATGCTTCCGATCCGAAAAGAGCAAGTGCATCGCTTCGTTCGTAACAAGTGCCTTACTAGTAGTAACAAGGACGCAATTAATTATAGTAATTGTTTGGCTTCCAAGATGCTTCCGTTCCATAACGCACCATAACGCACCATTCGTCCTTTCTCGTGCCACATTCGCCATGGTGTTGGTGATGAAGCTCACAAACACAGAGCCCGAGACCAATGCAAGGCATGTAGCACAAACGCCTTACGGCTCGGTGGTTTTTTCTGTCACAAAGGAACAAGTATTAGTCCGTGCATGGGTTCACAATGTGGTTCAAGCATGCTAATGGTTGAACATGTAAAAATATCTAAATATCCGAAACCACCACCTATAGGCAACAACATTTCAAGTGACACTTTTGTGAAAGCGTTTGGTTCGACGATTTGATCACACCAGGTCATTCCTGACAGGATGGGCGAGTGAACTTCCCCTAGCTAGCAAATGGATGATATGTCAACATTTTGGGCATTGAATCATTTACATGTACCCACAATGTACATTATGGATTATTAATGCTCCCGCTGTTTCGATTGTAAACCCTCTTATATATGGGGGCTTTTATTAAGACATTCATAAATGATGTAACTCGCTAACTTACAGACTTACCCATAGCAAATGATTCATGCTCGAATCCAGAGGCTGAACCCTCGAACTGATTTAGATCCGAGTCAAGTCTACTGGTCCACATGACCCTGCAACGCCTTCGAAGTTCTCTGTTAAATGTGTATCCACACGATAATCCCCCTCAAAATTCTCGGAAACAACGAATGATGAGGCCAATGACCAAGCGCTTCGAAGCGCGACCCTCGATCCCGACGCAGCATGGCGTGTTGGGCCAGCGCCGTGCGACACCAAGTTACCCAGCCAGCGTTCCAAGGGCGTGTTGAGCTCCACGGTGAGGCGCAAGGAGGAGGGAGGCAGTTTCGACAAAGCCCATTCCAAGCTCCTGTGGACGACCAAAGTTGCTGTTGTTTTTATTGTTCGGCTGAAGTGCAGCAGAAAACGGTTCGTCAAGCTGACGAGACACAGTTCCAAGCCGAATCCAAGATTCGATTTAGCGAACTAAACCGTTGACATAACCAAACCTTGAAAGATCTGATGTTGAGGTGTAGACTCGAGTCTAACAGACTCCGAGTCTTTCCCAGTGATTTTTCACTTCAGCAGCCGAAAAAGAACACTGACCGAAACTGAAGCGACATGGAAATGGAGCCCCAAAAGAAACTGGATCCAGCAGCAAGAAGCTGCGGCTGCACGGATTTTGGCAGGCAGGCAAACCATTATCTGGCCATTCTCAAAGGTGCTTTGTTGGGAACACTCTGTATTTTGGGACTTTTCAACATTCTGAATGGTGTACGGTTTATTGGCATATTAATCAAACAACGCAAGGCTCCTGGTGTACTGCCTGGTGATGGGTAGTTCATGTAGACCTTCTTCAAGAACCCAGCCACTCGGGGTGTCGCCAGCGGCAAACCACAAGCTTCCCAGCACGTGCACTGCAACTCCCATCAGAAGGCCCATGAAGAAAACAGGCCGCGCAACCGATCCAAATTGAGTTCTCAAGAAGGTCAAGCGAGTCCTTATAAAGGGTGGGACTGTCTGGCAAACTGGTCTTCAAAGACGTTTTTAAAACCGCTCTTCAGATCCACTGAGTGTGACCATCTTGGCATAAAAGACAGTCTTTTGAATAAGAAAACATGCCCAGCTGCTCAAAAGTCGACAACCAGCTTTGAAGCGTCTTCCACAATCTCACAATTTGCACAAAGCGAAAGAGCCGCAGCACTCGCCGCGCACGCGCCATGCGAAAGACACCTGCGGGGCCGTCTGCCATCTCAGGGGCCAATAGGACGATGAGGTCGGGCACGAGCCTTGGGCGGTCGCTCGGAACAACGGTCTCCGAAAAAATGCGCGTCGCACCGAGCGCGAAAAAGCGCGGCGCAATCAGATGGAACGTGTGTTTTTTGTTCCACATCGGTCAAATGCTTAGGCAAAGATGTTTGGTCGCTTGCGAAGTGAACTGAGGTCTTGAACTTGTTTGAGATCCCACATGTTGTTCACGCTTCGCAGAAACTAGCATCCTGCGAGCTGCGATAAGAAAAACATGAAAAAAACACATTACTCACCGAATTCCCAGCTTCAGGTGCACAAAGAATAATGATCAACCCATATCAAACCATTGAACAAAAACAATCAGTAAACATCCTGCCCGTGGCTGTGGTAAGTGGGACAGCCTGGGTAAAGGCAAGTTGAAAAAGGTGATGGTGCAAATCCAAGTGGGCATGAACATGTCGAAGAGGAACCAACCACGCAGATATGCGGATGCAATATCTGGGAGGCGAAAGCAAAGAATGTCATTGACATAAGTTGCCGTGAAGAAGGTTGCCGGCACGTCGAAGACCCAAAAGATGGTGGTGATCCATTGTAGCAAATCTGCCACACGGCGAGCGGAGTCATCCAAGCGATACAAGAGCATTGGTGCCACACTGATCTCGAAGAGGATGGCGATGATTGTCAAGGCATCCCAAAAACTTCCTTATACTATCCAACGTGTCCAAAGCATGTGAGGGATGGTGATGGTCTAGACCAGACCAATTGCTCAACCAGCTGACTGGGGATGGATTCTTTTATTCCCAAACATTGTGGTCACAGGGCCTATAGCTTCGATCAAGGGTGCTCGCAAAAAAATGTCCGGTCTGAGGTCGACTTTTCGTGGCAGGTGCGGTGAATCGTGAACTTGGGACATGTAGTTACTTCATTTTCATAAATTAGGAAACGAATTATCGTGCGAAAGCTTCATTTGGCATCTCCATCTTTCAACGTGGCTTTCGGGTGGCCCAAATCAGATTTCAAGGGATACATCGAAGAGATCCACTGGACTAGCAATTAAGATAATTTAAGTTTGAACACCAACAGCATCCAACAGCTATACCCAAACCATCCATGTATGGAATAGTTACGTATGACACATATTTGCACCATGCAACTATTCCATACATGTGACCGTGTCAATAATTGTTACTATAGTTTTTCTTCTTTGCCCCTATGTCAACAACTATTCCATATAGGAAACGAGATAGCCATGCTGGTTCTGGACCAGTGGTCCTTTCGAGTTCGGTTTCTCGTCTCCCAAGGATCGTATCCAGGAATTGGGATGGGCGACACAACAGGGCGCATCGAGATGCTCCGTCTTCAGCAAATACTGCCTGCTTCATTGGATCGGCCAGGGACGGGACCCTACGGATCGGATCGGGCGAAAGCTTCGTCCCAAATACGACGAACTTGGAGGTACAAGACGGGGTGACGAACTCGGAGGTTAGGGGTGCCCTTGTCACATCCACTCACTTAGGGACCAAACACCACCCCGTCTTGTGACCCCTGGCTAATATTTGTTGTATAGACTGAATGTGGAAGAGGCTATTGCATTGCATGCTATTGCCATGTTCAATGATTTTTGCATGAATGAGAATGCCTTTTAAGAGGGTGAACGGATACTCGAACACCATGGCCTCCCATCTCCTCACAGCTTTGCACATGCATATGGCAAATTATGTGTGATTCGAGAGGTGTTGGATATCGAAACTGAACATCGACATCGGGTGCTGAAACCCATAGTAGGGTAAACAATACGTATGCATGCCCAAGAAGTCAATGTTCTCACAGTGTGGTTCATGTTTACTTCTTTTAATGCCATGCAACAGGTGAACCATGACGCTTCATAGGGACCTCAAATCCGCCAAAAGCGAGCTTCCATCGGATGTGCGAAAGCCCGAGCTTCAAAACGAGAGGAACCATACCCTGTGCTCATACCCTCCTCGGGTCATGGAGGCCAACCATGTTTCATGTTACGGTGGCTCTTCCAGCTGAGCCCCTGTCTTCCTACCGCACGTACTTTCGTCGCCTTCTCTACCTGGCAACTACACAGGACCTGCGGTCCATCTGAGACCCGCGGGAGCCCCTACGTCACGTCGCCCGAGCCGAGCTCCGGGGGGTGCGCCTCTGGTGCTGCGGCTTGATCGTTTGCATGCTTCCGACGGACATCCTCCGTTGAAGCCGCTTCAGGCCCTTCAGCCTGGGTGCGGACTGTCTCAGCGAACAATGTGGAGAGGGACACAGAATGTCAATCTTATAGGCTGTCCATCCAGTCTGGGCAATAGTGAAATCTTAAACTATCCTTAAGAATAAAGGTTATATTATATGTTAACTATATTCCCTAACAGGCCAAGGACCAAGTAAAACCCTGATACTTGACCATTGCTTGACCTCATGGAGCAGTGTCTTTGGTCACCAGGTATACCTAAACCCAGTCAAATGAGCTCCTTGACTGGTTTCTACATCAACTGGTTTCTACACAAATACATCAACGTCGAGTCCGGGTGTTCTTTTTTTGTCAGAGTAGGCATAGCGGGGGAGGATGTGATAGGAACAGAGGTGGCGGGGAAGCGAGAAGTGCGTGACAAGAAAACCACGACATCCATTGATAGGGCTCCACTTTAGGGGCACGGTTGGGAGGGGCTTTGTTCTGAAAGGTTCTTGGAACCTGCTTTGGGTTCCTTCTGAGTACCAGGAGGTGGTTCTTAGAACCATGAAAAAGGGGTTCTGCACTGGCCAAAAAAGAGGTTCTGCGAACCCAATCGGTTCTCCGAACCTCATTGGGGTTCTGAGTGGTTCTTAGTACCCCCTGGGCTACGCCTGGTTCTCAACTAGGCCCCTAAAGTGGAGCCTGAATTGAAGAAAGTCACCAACCATACCAACCATGAGTGGTCCAACTTGTTAGTTTTGTTATAAATGAACCACCCTTGGATACCCTTGGTGAGAAACCTTTCTTGAAGCTAGGTCGTGTTCAACGCAGCCTGGTCCGTCAGACGGACCAATGGAACCCCCAAAGAATCACACAATGGCTCCAACAACGGCTGGGGAGGTCACTGGCTGCGAGGTTGGTTTTTTAGGCGCTTGCTCTTGGACTTCCCCAACAGATGCCAACTCTCCAAGACGAGGACAGTTGGGATGGTGTCAAACAAGGGTCGACAAAGCCAAACTAGATCAGCTGATTCACAGCCAGACTCTTTTCAACCCCTCAGTCGCTCCACGAAGTGGAGCTCCTCCTATGTTCATCTCGCGCTCATCGCGTTTGTCCAGGCAGCTTTTCTTCTGGAAGATCCCATTCCTCCCGAAGCTGAAGGGCTGACTCCAAGGAATCCTTGAACGGTTGAGGCCGCTGCTGAGCGGGCGAGCTTAGGGCCCGCGAGCTTAGGGCTTGTAGTGAACTCTTCCTTTTTCCGTAGATCCCACCCTGTTGGGCCTTTCCCCTCATGTGCACGAAAAACTGCGCTTCAAACTCCTGCAGATGTCCGAAGGCTCCTGATGTTTAAGGCTACAAATCCCTACGAATCCATTGCCGGCTCGTTCCAGAGTAACCGGGGAGTCGTCCCGACTCAGGTCGAACGTGCGCTCTCAACTAGCACGCCTACCTCTGAGTAGGCGACCGCCTCATTGCATGTCACTGCCAGGAGACCCTATGGGGTGCCAATTGGTGGCTACCGGAGTGTCCATTCACCACCCCAGAAAGTGGCAGAAAGGGGTCCAAACAACACCCCCCAAACGGGATTGGGGGCTCCTGGTATATGTCACATTATGTCACTGGATAGCCTTAGCTGGTCATTTCTCAAAGTAACCACCCTAGCATTGAACCACCTAGCTGCCTAGCTCTGCTGCACTGCCTCATTCTCCAAGGCTCTGCTTCCAGCTCCTCCTCCATGTGTTCCGTGGCCTCTCCTCGATGACACAGGCTCGGTCGGATCAATCCGATCCAGCACCGAGAACCTTTGTTACTAAGTAGCGATGCCCTTGCTCCGTTCGCAGCTTCTTGTTCCTAGTAGTAAGGCCAGGAGCTACGTTCGTAGCGATGCCCTTTGTTACTAGTAGCTCCTTCAAAAAGAGAGACACATCCAGGGTCGTCTCAACCTGAGTGTATTGCCTATATATAGGAAAGAAATGGTGAAGTGTTAAACGGACAAAGGCGGAAGGCGTTCAGGTCTTTTCGTGAAAAATCATCCGAACTGAACATGCCCCCAGCACCATGAACCCTCCCCACCATTGACCCCTCCCCAAAAGGATTGCAACAAACTAGAACTAACGATACAACCATCTTGTTGCCAGCCACCTTCCAAAACAACATAACCTGAATAAGACGGGAATACACCCCTTTTGGTCGCTTGTCTCAGACCGAAACGATGCAGACTTGAAGCACCGACCACCTGAGGTGGAACTCTTTTCACGCAGCCCCTGTCCAGCTCTCTGTCTTGCAGATGTTTGCGCCAAGTCTCTTGCTCTCTTCATGAGTTTGTTGGACATCTTCGTGCTATGGGGTGTGGCGGCATTGGAGTCCATACTCGAGTGGTGGGACATGCGCTGGGACACGCCCCCCTCCTTCTGGAATGGAGAAAAAGAAAAACACCAACTCATGAGGCTTCTCCACACGCCAAGAGGTGTTTTTGTGCGGATGGGGGCAGGGTTTGACTCAAGCAACGTTTGTTGCAAGAAAGAAAGCCTTACAAACAGTCAATGAAATCAGTTGGATGCTGCTTTGGATTGAAAGAGCCTTGGACTCTGGTGATTTCCTTGTAGGTTTCGCACTGGTATCACCCTTCCTCCTCTGGGCTGCCGGATGGAGGCAAGGCCAGTAACGCAGGAGAGCTCAGGGCATGCGGTGGGCAAACGACCTGAGAACACATTAATCTTTTTGAGCCACATAGGGGGTGTGGGATTCGTGGTCAGTAACCATACTGCTCCGGTGTAGGTAGGTCGGTTGTCTTCCATGCATGCATGTATTGTCTGGCATACGTGTATATAATGCGCCGTGCGTTTGCAGGCGGGTGACTAGGGGGTACCGGTCAATTATGTAATATATATATATAATTAATTGATTGATGGTGACCTCAGTTAATTAATTCATGTGTTAAACAAGTTAGTTTAACGTTCAAAAAGAACAACCTCTACCCCAAACTGAAATAGTTTCTGGGTGTTCTGAATTAGGGGTACCTAGTAGAGTAGCAATTCTCCTAATTACTCTGGACAGCCTGCACATCATGAATTGATCAAATCCAACCTGCATCATGCGCGTCTGAAACAGCCCTTAGCTTTATTGTGTTTATGTATTTTTTTCGCCCTGCGTTTGTCAGAGTTTGTGCGTGCAACCGCGACCACCTTCCAGCAACTGATTTGCCAACACAAATGCTCATGAATTTCAGCACATCTCGTGCCAACAACATGTCCGATTTACAAAACTTGAGGCCAGGGGGAGGAGGTCGAAAGCTAGCCGAATCGCACCGGATGTACTAGTCACATAGTCGGCAAAGCATGTAGTGAGTACATGTTCTGGGAGGAAGGTTGCTATGTACATACTTTGCGCTTGATCGGCAAGTCTGGGGGTAAATTTACCCTCCGCTTTTGTATGCCTTGAGGGGTAAGCATTTCTGACATCATACGGACTGTACATACACTAGGGCGTCCGTAGTGTAGGAGAAGCACGGGTAAAAGGTATATGGAATAGAGTGTCTTGAGGAAATAGCCGGCTTATGGTTATTGCAAATCTGGGGGGTAAATTTACCACCCGCTTATGTATGCCTTGTGCCGGAAAGAGGAGTAAGCATTTCTGGCATCACAAGGACTGTGCAAACACTAGGGCGTCCGTAGTGTAGGATAAGCACTGGTAAAAGGTATAAGGAGCAGAGTGTCTTGAGGAAATAGCCGGCTTATGGTTATGGCAAATCTGGGGGGTAAATTCACCCCCCGCTTATGTATGCCTTGAGCCGGAACGAGGGGTAAGCATCAAGGACTGTGCATACACTAGGGCGTCCGTAGTGTAGGATAAGCACTGGTAAAAAGGATGTAAAAGGTATCAGGAATAGAGTGTCTTGAGGAAATAGCCTGTGTATGGTTATAGCAAGCCTTGGGAGTAAATTTACCACCCGCTTATGCATGCACTAGGTTAGAAATAGGGTAAACAACTTGTAAGGGTGAAGTACAAGTCCTATGCAGCAAGCAGCAGCCAGCAGCAGCAGCAGCAGCAGCAGCAGCAGCAGAAGCAGCCGCCTGCAGCCAGCAGCCAGCAGCAACCGCCAAGCAGCCAGCCAGCAGCACCACGCAGCAGCAGCGCAGCACCAAGCCGCAGCAGCAGCAGCAGCACCACCGGCAGCAAGCAGCAGCAGCAGCGGCGTCGTCAGCAACAGCAGCAGCAGCACCAAGCCGCAACAAGTAGCAAAGCATGAACTACCTCAAATGATCTCAAATATACACGCAACTCATTATCATTATACCTATCAGCTTGTTAACTTCTGCATTGAATGAGCCACTCGAACCAGCAAAACGACGCCAACCCTGGACGGAGGCTGAAGGAACGACGTAGCATGGAGGTGAAATGGAGCGTGCTCACCGTAGGACATGCCTTGACCAAGGATTGTAGATGCAAACAATTGCACAAACATATGCACACCTTGCCGCTGTCTGAACACCAGCAGAGCTATCACGCAATTCATTCAGTGGAATGGTGGTATGCACCACAACAATAAGCGAAGCGGCGCAGCTGGGAGTTGAACCGCGGGGGGGGGGGTTAGCTTGATACATCAATCTTTAAGGCACGCAGCCCCTCCCACCACAACATTGCTAAAGCAAAGAAGAACTCAGCTAGCATGCTAGCTTTCGTGATTAATCGAACAAAAATGGCACCCCAAATACATAACAATTCTGAACTCAGTAGGTACACTCAATTAATTTCGTAGCGCTGCCTGCATGTATAATTACTATATAATATACATTTCGTTAGGAATGCGCAACATAATAAAACTGGAAGATGTATGCACATGTCATCACATGTCGTATAGGAACACATAGGCTCACGCAAGCCTTGCCTCTTCCCGAAGGTCCATTCCCAAATATTCCCGGTTTCAGCGCACTTGGGACATTCCAGCTGTTTCTGCTGGGCTCTGCGTTGTCTGGGGGGCGCGCTGGAACAGCCGCGCAGGGATATAACCCATCACCCACCAATGGCTGAACACTGCGATGATGGGCCGAATGGCCAACGAATGGCCGGCAAAAGAAGGAGGAGCAGGATGATTTTTTCAGATTTTGACATCTTCCATGACTTCCATTTGATAACTTGCGGACACAAGAAGGCTCAACGCGGGCAACAGTCTTTGCACACCAACCTTCCCCTAATAACACATCTTCCTTGACGCATGCCCTCCTAAAGACATTACCCGACATTACCCGACCAAAAAAGATCTGATCACACATCAAACCTGACCGTGGTCCCTGGCGAGCCGCATGAACCTCTTCGGCCGTGCCCTGTGGACTCACTTGACTCTGCATGATCAGGTCCTCGATGGTGCCCTTTGGGCTTGAGGGATGCACCTGACTCAGCTGGCCTTGGACACGAGACAGATCGGCTCCCAGGGAACATAGAAAAAGAAAAAAGCATATCATACAATAGCTTCTTGTTACTACTAGTAAGGCATCTGTTACTACTAGCGATGCACCTGTTACTACTAGCGTGGCACTTGTTACTACATACAATAAACACGAATAAACATAAATGGTTCCCATTTTCGCATGGGGATGACATAGATTTACCCAGAAAAAGATCCACGAATCCACGCCCCACGCTTGTTTAATCCCTCCCCCCCCAAAAAAATATACTTAAAAAAACACTCGGGTGACTCATCTGTTGCAGATGTTGAAGTTGTAGCCCCGGAGAAGGCCCCGGTGAATGCAACGGCGTCTGAAAGGCGATGTGCCGCGGAAGGTGGGCACCTGTCCTCGGCCTGGCCACATCGGCCTCATAGGCTTCCCGGAGCCGGTACTGAAGGACCTATGGCAGGTCGACGATACCGTCGCAGCGTTTTGCTTGGACGAAGAAGCTTGTGCTGGGTGTTTTTGTAAGTGTGATGTCCTACACTGCACATGTTGACAGGTCCAGTTGTTTTTCTCTGTCGAGTTCTTGGTCGAATTCCTTGTTGGCAAAGTCCTTTTCAATGGTGTACATGCGAATCTGTCTGATGGCCATTGAGTGCCATTGATGCTTTGCAGTGATGATGCTGCCGAAACCCTCCTTCTTTGCCTGCCTGCATTTGATCCAAGACCTCAAAGAAGTCCAAGGCCTGCAAGGACAAAAGAAAGCAAACATTTGCACCAAGCACCGTGCGACCATCGGCTGTATTTGCCATAAAACAACGTCACCACCGCCGGATTTTGGTATGGTTGTAATTCTGTGATCCAGGAAGGATATAAGTTTGCCACAGTGGTCATCTATCTAAAATTTATGAGCTACAAACGGTCTTCTACACCACAATCACGACGTCTGGTCACTGAGGACTTGGAAGCTGGCAAAAACCAAACACATCTTCCTCGGAAGGGCCACGGAGTTTGGGCGTCGGATGGGCGCCTTCTTTTCACGCCGCTCGGTTCCCTGCGGGCTTCCGGCAGTGGTCTCCGCGATCTCCGGTGCTTCCTCCATGGCCCGCGGCAGGCGCTCGCGACGGAGTGAGACTGGCCCTTCAAACCGGAGCCGCGGGTTACCAGCCAAACGCGGTACCGCACGAGCCCGCGTGCGGGTGACGAGCCGGTCCGACTCAGTGGCCTAGCTGGGAGCAGCTGGGGGTCGTGTGGAACGGTGTGGAACGTGATCCTCAAGTTCATCAGTTTTGAAAATGGGTCCAGCACCAGTTGCATCCATCCCATCAGCAACTGCAACTCCTCCCAAGTTCGGAGTTTGGAGCTGGGGGTGGGGCATTCTTTTAAATCTCCGATTGGTTCTCCAACTTCTCATACTTGACGCTGTCGTCCGTGGCCATATGTGGGCATATATGACTCCCGAGAAAAGGGTTGAAAGCTGAGATGTTCTGATTTCAGTTTCTTTCTTCATCTTTTTCCATGGGCATCGAATTCAAACAGCTCATCTTTGTCCTTCGATGAAGCCGCCAGAGCCGACGACTCGACGACTCGACCGAGCGCGTCAAACGAAACCGAGCGCGGTTTTGGTTCGGAGCGCCGCAAAGCGTGGGTGAAGAATCATGTCGGTACGGCTCAAAAAGGGCTTCCAAAAGGTCGAGTCGAGAACTCTGATCTGTAAACTCTGGATTCATCGTTCACACCACCTCATTTGGATTGTTTCCTACCTCAACTGTGTGATTCAGAACTTCATATTGATTCAACATACATATTTCAACAATATGATTCACAGTGATTCACTGAAGGTCCGATCCGATCCTTTGAGCCGATCCGATCCGTTGAGGGTCGAAACGTGCCGAAACGTGCCGTCTCTTCCAATTCGGACGGACGGTGGCCGATAAAGCGTGCTTCCACATCGATCGCGTCATGGATTGGTAACACCTGGATGGTAAAACATCTGGTAAAACCCTCTCGATGAACCGAAGAAAACAAGAACACAATACAACATGGCAACATATGGCCACCCTCTTCCGTCCCAAAAAGGGCAAAGTCGTTCATTCCAAAAGTGTCGTTTGGGTCGTTGTGATTCCAGTGGCTCTCTAAGCTCACTGGAAAATCATCGCGCAGAGTCTCGACTCTGAACCTTCGATGCTCGGCCTTTCGGCTTAGGAAGGGCCGTCCTGGATCGATCTCTTCGCACGGACAGAGCTCTCACGCGAAGGTTCGTTTCTGGATGGACAGAGCTCTCAACAACACAGTTGAAGAGGGTATAAGAGGCATCTAACTGTTTTGTGCTGTTCACCTCCAGCCCTGAGCCTGTGGTCATCCATTTCCCAAGTGGTAAGACATGCAATGTTCAGACGAAGTGGCGAAGAACACCGCCCCGTTACACCCTGGAACTTAGAACATAAACAAAGCTATTACCTCTTTTTGGCCTCCACCCTAGAGCGATGGCGTCCCCACAAAGGCGGAAAGAAGGCGTTTCGTTTTCTTTGGTGAGGGCTTATGGGCTGGCTTGCAGACCTGCGCCATCAGTGTAGTGAGAAGTATGGAAGGGCTGAAGTGCTTACAAAGTGATTAAAACGCTTGTGCGCCATCAGTGCCAGCAATGGGCAGTGGCTGCACGTTTAATTAACACATATTTAAAAAAGATCAAAAGGCTTTGCCCGAGCCTTGCCTCAATTGGGCATGACAGGTTGCACCTTTGGTGTCAACATGCTTGGGCCTCGAACTTGGACTTTACGGTTCTGAAAAATCAGATCTTCCTCAGAGCCACCTTTCATGAGAGGAAGCGGAAGATCTGTCACTTGTCCACCTCAGAGTCTGGGACGCAGCAAAACGGTGCCAGGTGCCTTTCAATTGGTGAGGCCTTTCAAAAGAGCGACCGCTTTTTTAAAGGCTTCATTCGGTTTTGATGCCGCAATAAAACATTGTCCAAACACGCTGTACTTGCCTGGAACATACTGTGTTTACGATTGATGCTTGTCTTGACCCACGACCACTGTCACAAACTCCAGTGCACTCCATGAGACAGAGTTGGGCTCTCCTGTTCAACTCCTTCACGAAACAGCGCGCGTATACGACGGAGTTGGCCAAGGCATTGGCATATCCTGGTGCGACTGAGAGATGCTGGCACCTGACCTGCACTTGACCCTAGGCCTGAGAGTGCCGCTGGTGGCAATGATGTCACTTGGAAATCATCCAGGGGTCCATTTGGGTCCATGGTACGAATTCGTGGGTTCACGTGCTGTATCCCCTCTATTCATCATAGTAAAATAGCCTACTGTATCTATGGCTGGTTGTCTGCAGACCTTCCGAGCCTAACCAATTCGGACACACCCAGTCAGCCACCCATTGGGGTGGGCCTCCTCCCACCCACGCAGCAGAGGCCTTGAAGGACTTTGAAGAGGTCCTCGGTGGAGACGAGGAGAGACCTGCCCTGGACCATTGCCTGCAAATGGCCCTGATGCCGCCAGGTGTTCACCCACACAGCGGGTTCCGCTGCATACTCCCCCAGCTCCAGCATCGTTTGCGTCATTGGCACGTCACTACCACGTTGCACACCAAGTAGTTTGCTAAAAATGTTGCCTGCAAACAAGTGCGGAACAGGGCTGGTCACTTAGAGGAACTTACTGATCAAACATCAAATGAAAATAAACTAAATCACTAATTACTATATCAAATTACATCAATATCCAAATATATACCGCTTCCACTACGGTTTCCTGGTTCAACCGCACACTTTCAATCAGCAAATGAACGGGCAAAAGACTCCTTCCAGAACCAACGAGTCTTTGATCCCCAGCCCGGGTGATCCAAGGGTCTTGCCCGGGTGATGCAAGGGTGGTGGATCTTTACGCCGGGTCATTGTCCTGCCTGAGCCTCGACAGGCAGAGCGGGGATGCTTTGGAGAGTCCGACCAATGGAAGTAGACACTGAAGCCCGAGGCGATGAAATACCTGCAGTTTTCCGGGGTCCACATAGAAAGGAAATTGTTCAAAAGATTTGCCACCCTAGGTTGGAGGCTATCGCTTCTAGCTTGCAAGCCATCGCTACTAGGGTGGAGGTCATCGCTACTAGGGTGGAGGCCATCACTGCTAGTTTGGAGGCCATCG